CTGTCTACAAGGATGTTGTCCAGGGGACACCCGGATGTTTTACCATCCTGTGGAAGGCTTCTTTCATGTCCCTGCATGAGAAGCTAGAGCTGACAGATGGGAGCTCACCCCACTCCCCAGATTTGAACCACCAACCTTTCAGTCAGCAGTCCTACTGGCACACGGGTTTAACCCATTGCGCCACATCCATTTGCAATGTAATCCTAGTTTGTATTATTTGCTTTGGACTCTTGAGTAAAACTGAAATGTAATCCTGTTCATTTCAGGATTTATTTGCGTAAAGCCGAAGATCTAAGAATTGTACCCAGATCTCTGTCACTCCCAGTATCGCTACCATTGTAACTAACATTTCAATATAGGTATTTCATGAAATTATATTTGTCATAAAATCCTTTTGATCACAAAGTTTCTGCTTCTGCTATGAAATTAAATTAACAACTAAAATGTCCACAACTGTCTACTCCCGGCAGTTAGGGATTATCTTCTTTTTTGATATGATGAATAGTGCTTTAGTCAGTATCATTGGTCTGTAAGAATTAATACCTGCTTCTGAAGAAACCTATCTTAACGATCTTTCTAATAAGCACAACCATGCCATTTTATAGGTGGAAACAATAGTTATGGACCAAAAAGAAGGATAATTTCATGAGGGGACACTCTACAATGCTTTATGCTTGTATATAAGATCTAATTTTTTTCTCGTGTCAGGAGCTACTTGAGAAACTGCAAGTCGCTTGTGGAGGGAGAGAATTGGCCGTCTGCAAGGACGTTGCCCAGGGGATGCCAGGATGTGTTACCATCCTGTGGGAGGCTTCTCTTATGTCCCCACATGAGAAGCTGGAGCTGACAGATGGGAGCTCCCCCCCCCGCTCCCCCAATTTGAACCCCTGACCTTTTGGTCAGCAGTCCTGCTGTCACAAGGGTTTAACCCATTGCACCACTGGGGGCTTTGACATAATGTATAGTTCTTTAGCGTAAGTATCATGGGTATATAACAGTATCTGCTTCTGAAGAAACCTTAGTTTTCTTTCTAATAAGAATAATCGTGCCATTTTATAGGTGGAAACAATAGTTGTGGACCAAAAAAGAACGATAATTTCAGTATATGGCATTCTACAATACTTATGCTTCTATATAAGATCTATAAAACAATTGAATAATCTCTCAAATACTTTTCTGTGAGCACATATTTTCTAGAAATAACAAACTAAACAGCTTTCACTCAATTAATTGTAGAGTGATATAGAAACTACAGCAGAAAGCTTTATTTACTGCAATCACATGTTGCCTGAGGAATTATAGGAACCAATTCTTTGTACTTCACTGACCACCAACACATTACAGCTCCTTAACCAGTAATTATCACGTAGATCCAGCCCATCCATATCTTAACAGACAGTCTTACTATTAGTATTGACACTTTGAAAATTGCTGTATTCTACTTACCACAGCTTTTGTTTATGAACGTTGCAAATATAAATTATACAACATGAATGGTACCTCTAGTTAAGGAAGCATTACCGGTGTAAGAAAAAGTAATTCTAATCTGCTTTTCCAAGTGCTCGAACTGTTAAGGCTTATCTAATTTATTTCTAAATGATTGAGTTGTTGTTGGGTTTTTAAGCACAATATTGTTTGCAGGATTGTATACCTTTATGTTCAAGAAGCTAACAGATGTTATAATAAATAAAAATGCTGAAGATTAATTCTGGAAGGAAAACCGCAGAAGCTGGAAGTTATAGGTGAAAGGTAAAAAAAATGCCTGAAACACTTTAATTGTGGAGGCAACAAAAAGAACTGATGACATTGTTTTAAAGAAGGAACACAGTCATTAGTAAAGGCTGTAATACATTTAAATATAATGAATCATCTTTAACCATTACTCCTGACACATTGCTTTGGGGAAGGCTGTGGATGTGGATTTCTGCCATTTTTGCATGTTTAAAGTGGAACAGCAACTATGTCATAATAAAATCTTCTTTAAATAAATGAGAAATAACTGTCACAGTAATCTGAAAATGTTATGTGGATCAAATATTTGCTCACTTTGAAAAAATAATGTTCTATTGTCTGGAAATTAGTAAAGAGATGTTTTACAGAGAAGGAAAAAATAACAGAGACTCTATTACATGAGTGAAAGTTCTTTTTCACTCATGTAATAGCTTACCTGTTCTAATGTATCTCTCTCTATAAACCATCTTGGAGATTAAGATCATCTGGGGAGGCCCCATTCTCAGTTCCACCTCCCTCGCAAGTGCGATGGTTGGGGATGAGAGACAGGGCCTTCTCAGTGGTGGCTCCTCAGCTATGGAACTCCCTTCCCAACAAAATTAGATCAGGGCCTTCCTTCCTGGCCTTCAGAAGAAAAGTAAAAACTTGGCTATGGGACTAAGCCTTTGGGCAGTAAGCAGTACAAGGAATGATCAGGGATGGTGTGCGATAGATAAGATATTTGGAATGGCCTGGACTACGATTGTTGGATTGTGTGATTTTAATGTTTGTATTGATATGTTTTTAATTTCATATTTTAATGTTAAATGATGTCATGTTTTATTATTTAATTGATAATTGTATGTTATTATCATTATGTTAGGTTTCTGTATGTGAGACATTAAATTTTGCCATAATTATGCTGGAGACCGCTGGGGCGAGAATTCAGTGACTGTATGGAAATTACTACTGAATAAATATGTACCGAGATAAAATGTTTAACCTGGAAGTCTTTTACCTTATACATATACCTTTATATATAAGGTAACAGACTTCCAGGTTAAACATTTTATCTCATTTTACTCAACTGGGATGAACAATATTGAACTCAAAGATATTATTGGACTGCACCTGCAGTTAGCTCAAGCCAGTCAGATAGGATTAGAGTTTGAGTACTATAAAACTGTGGGACCATGGGTTGCCCATCCCTGCTTGGATAGAACTCTTTAAAATTTAGCAATTTTTTTGCCATGCAGTGATTTGTGAAAATACTTAATATAATATATTAGTGGGCTGAGTGTTGGGATAGAAATCTGGAAGACCTAGGTTCAAAAGTCACCTCAGACATGTTGTGAGACCTTAGGTAAGTCACTGTCTTTTTGAGGAAGGCAGTGGCAACATTGAGTTGATCTTGTGGGGGGGGGTGGTGGTGGTGGAATAACAAAAACAAATGCATGTTTATGTAGGAGTAAACACTCTGCATTTGTTCTTGTTATGTGTACATAGGAGTAAGCAGTGGTGGAAAGCCAACATGGTGTAGTGGCTTGACTACTGAACTAGGACTCAAGGAGCTCAGTGGTGGAAACATGTTGGGCGACCTTGGGCAAGTCAACTTTCTCAGCCTTATTCAGTGACTAAATCTTCTGAATAAATCTTGGCAAGAAAACCCTATGAGAGGAATGCCTTTAAGTCAAAATTGGGGTAAAGATACACAATAGCAACAAAGCTGTTGTGACTGGGTAGATTTATGCATGCAGGGATAGCAAATCAATTTCTGGAATTTATTTCCATTCTTCCAATTGAGGAGAAACTTTTATGGTCCTGGGTCAGTGGTTTGGCATAACAGAGCTCCCATGTGGAGAAGTGCTGCTTAAGTGTAGAATAGATTTGCCACTCCTATGGTGGTGGATCCACCTACACAAGCCCTACACAAAGAAAAAAATATTAAAAGGCCAGTATTGCATTAAATAGAAGAGAGGCTCAGGTTGGCGGCCATGGCCAAGTGAGCAGCCTTGCAGGCCACATTCAGCATTTGTGCTACAAGCTCCCCAACCCATGTCCTACAGCAGTGGTTTTCAACCTGTGGGTCTCCAGATGTTTTGGCCTTCAACTCCCAGAAATCCTAACAGCTGTTAAACTGGCTGGGATTTCTGGGAGTTCTAGGGCAAAACACCCGGGGACCCACAGGTTGAGAACCGCTGTCCTACAATATTTAGTGGGGCTTCCTTACTAGTAAGTGTGCATAGGATTAAAGCTGCAGACTACAATCCTGTGCACAGCTTCCTGGGACCGTGTCCTATTGAAAAGAGTAATGTTTACTTCAAGTAAACCAAAGTATCCAGTTGGGCTGTGTTCTAAAATCTGGGGGTTAAGTGCATTGTGTATCCTTTGTACAATGGGACTGGATACTGTAGGCTTTGTACAGGTTTGGTTTCAGAAGACTAGATTCCACTTCCTCTTAAACAGAAAGTTCTGGCCAATTAAAGTACTGCCCCTCATATTTTTTTGTAGGCTATTTGGTAACTTTTTGTGCTGGGTTCTTTAATAGCTGATATGGTAACTAGTTATAAACTGCTTTCATTTTTTCTGATCATGGATTAATAATCCTTGCATGCTTCACACAGTCTAATCCAGGGGAACGTGACATAATGTCATCAAAATTTGGTTGGACTCCCAACTCAGTCAGACTAACCATCTGGGCCATTGGTCATAGATTATGGAGGCTGTATTCCAACACCATTTGAAAGTCTCCACATAAAGCAGAGAGAAAACTTTCAGTGCAAGTGTCACATGATTAAATATAGATTCAGTAAATACCTTTGAATTAAAGCAGTGAGAGACTTGAAGCAGGAAGCCCAACTAAAGACTCTAGTGTAGAGTAAAACAGAGGGGATTGTCCTATCCCCTGACTTTCTGGGTCCCATGTTTGCTCTTCTTTTTTATATTCGTGAAAAGTTTTGCATGTTTATTCCCCATGAATAATTGTCCCCATTGACTTGCTAGATTTAGATTTGCCTAATTGTCATTTGAAGCCTTGGCGTTTGTGGCCTGAACTTTCAGTTTGTTTGACACTGGCTGTACCCACATTATCATGAATTAACATAGACAAGAACTCAGTTTCTTGCCCCTCTTTGCTCCATTTTCTGTTCTCCTTCATACATGTTTATTGATATTGTTCTCCAGGTTCATCTTAAATACACACTAAAGAAAAGCCAATAACTGACTTCATGTTGGTGCCATCTGTAAGTGACTCTTTTTTTTTTTTTTTTTGCATTTCTGCATGTGTTTAGGTGTATTTCAACGGCTACCATGGCGACACCTCCGAAACACTTTTAGTGGGCAATGTGGATGAGCCTGGTCAAAAGTTAGTGGAGGTTGCCAGGAAATGTAGAGATGAAGCAATTGCAGCTTGCAGACCTGGGGCTCCTTTCTCTGTAATTGGAAACACAATCAGGTAAGCCTTATACTGACAAGTAAAGGAAAGGCTGGCAAGTGGGACAAAGGTTATTGGTGGTTTGGTATAAAACTGATGACATGTTTTATGATTCAGAACCATCATTTCAGCCTGATATCACTATGTGAACTGCCAGGCTGTAATGTTGTTCCCCGAAGTAAGAAAAGGGATTTAAAAAGTAAATTACACTAGGCAGGGTCAGCGGCAATGCCTATAGAAAAAGCTAAAGACATTTCGTAAACTAGATGGAGGTATGATTGAGTGGCTATGACTATCTTAATAAAATCATATTAGGAATATTGAAGATGTGTGTTCATCTGCTTGTTGCATGATGCTTACAATCCACAAGAAATATATGACTGCTATGAAGAATGTTAAAGATCTTATACATTATCTTCCAAATACATGCCAGAAATACATACAAATATACCGTATGTGTGTGTTGTTTTGTTGTGTGTTGCTATAATGTTGTTTTATGTTGTTTGTTTATTTATTTATTTATTTAAAACATTTATATTCCGCCCTTCTCACCCCGAAGGGGACTCAGGGTAGAGCACAGCATATACATGGCAAACATTCAATGCCGGGACACAAATTCACATACACATACATAAGCATTAAAAAACATTTATCAAAATATTAAAATACACCATTTAAAACCGTCCTAGTCATCCGCATCAAATCTAATTGGCCTGTTCATTTTTCCTATTGCCGCTTTATTGCCCTGTCCTGAAAGCTTGGTCCCACAGCCAAGTTTTTACCATCCTTCTGAAGGACAGAGGGAGGGGCCAACCTGATCTCGCCAGGAAGGGAGTTCCATAGCCGGGAAGCAATCACCGAGAAGGCCCTGTCTCGTCCCCACCAATTGCGGCTGTGACAATGGCGGGACGGAAAGCAGGGCCTCCCCGGAGGATCTTAATCTCCGTGATGGTATATATACTCATATTATGTATTTTGTATATGTTATGTTTTAACTTTGTTAATTGGGCTTGACCCTATGTAAGCTGCCCCGAGTCCCCTTGGGGAGATGGAGGTGGGGTAAAAAATAAAGTTGTTATTGTTTATTATTATTATTATTATTATTATTATTATTATTATTATTGAGTATAAGCTGACCTGAATATAAACTGAGGCACCTAATTTTACTTCAGAACACTAGAGAAATGTATTGACCCAAGTATAAGCCGAGAGTGGGAAATGCAGCAGCTACTGGTAAATTTCAACATAAAAATAGATACCAATAAAATTACATTAATTGAGGCATCAGTAGGTTAAATGTTTTTGAATATTTACATAAAACTGTCATTTAAGATAGGACTGCCATACTCTGATTAAACCATTACTCTAACCTTCTTCAGTGTAAATGTGCTTACATATTCTTACAATAATAAGAAATAATAATAATAATAATAATAATAATAATAATAATAATAATAGAGACAATTATGGAAATATAAAAATAACAGTAATAATGGAGAATAATAAATTTAAAAATAACAATAATAGAATAAAATAATAAATGTAATCATAATAATAAATATAGTAAAATAATAATAATAATAATAATAATAATAATAATAATAATAATAATAAAGTAAAATAAGAAATAACCTTGACTTGAGTATAAGCCGAGGGGGGCTTTTTCAGCCTTAACAAAAGGCTGAATAACTAGGCTTATACTCGAGTATATCCAGTAATGACAGAAGAGTGAGCTCTTTTTTTGGAGATATCCTGATGCAACATGATAAAACTGTAGCAGCCAGTCATGTTCTTCTTGATTAAGTCCTATTGCTCAGTTCCTTTAGTATTTCTCCATAATTTTATTGCATAGCTGTAGCCTTTATCCTTCCATTAATATATTGACTAAGCCTATCAGAGGGGGAAACCTAATATGAATCTTGATGGCGACAAGACATGTGCTGCCGAGAACCGTAGAAGTTGCTGCCCCCCCCCCACTTCATCTTCAAATACTTTAAGAGAAATAAGGAAAGAGAGCAGCAAAATATCAGTTTGATGTTATTTATAGCTTTAAAAATATTGTAACAGAGTCTGCCTCAAACTTTAGTAAAACCACTTTGGGTTATATCTGAGAAGCTTTTATTGAAGACTTTGTATAAAATTGTGTTTTTGACAGTTTTAAATTATAGGCTAACTAGCCTGGGGAAAAAGGATAGTGTCTTTCTGTTCTTTCATAGGAAATGTTGAATCAGACCCCTACTGGGAAAAGAAATTTAATGCATATCTCACTATCTTACTGTCCATGAATATAATAGAAGTGAATTCGAAATGTAGTTTTATTTTTGCAAATGGGATGAGTCGATGGAGGCACCTCCGTATTTTTGAACACCTAAGGTTCAACAAATTTACTGGTGGTGCTCTTGCATTTTAACAAAATTTATTCCGGAGTCGGAAGGGGCACCGAAGACGAGATTCTTATTCAAGCATTCTCCTGAGCACTGCATTCATGGCTGTGTCTAAAGGGCATGTCAGCCTTTGATTCTCTCTGAGAGGTAATTATCCTTTTCCTGTCACGGAACAACAAATGATAGCTAACTACAGAGGCACATTTGCAGTAGTCACATTCATCAACTGCAGGGGAAAAAAATTCAATTTAATTGTACAACACAGCTGCACATAGGCTTTTTGAGCATTTCTGTTGTTCTCCCTGTCTTGCTATTCCTCCCTACCAGATCTATTTTTTAAACTTTTTTTCCTTCCTGCTTATTTTTTTCCCCTCTCCCCCTCCCCCCTCTTTTTTGTCTCTTCTTCCATTTTTACTCTCTGTACTTTCTTGTTAAAGTAATTTTCCTTTGTGGCTCTCATTCTTCTCGCCCCCCCTCCCCCATTGAAGGCTATGAATGTAGAAAATTATCACAATTACTCATATAATTGAGCCTCTTTGTAGCAAGTGCAACTCCAGTAGCCTTTCTCCATCATGAAAATGGTTTCATTATAGGGTTTTTCATATTCTCTGACACCATCTACACAGAGGAACAGGCGTGCAGATGAGATGTACTAGGAATAGGGTAGATCAGGAAGGTCACAGTGGGAATAATTAGCTCTGCTATGGAAAGAGCATCTAGGCCTTTTACTGCTACATAAATGTACTGTCCGTGGCTTTTAGTCACAAAAAAAAACCTCACTAACAAATGGAGCTCCCGCCTACTACTTTGAAAAAAAGATTTGTATCAACACTACAATTTTCCATCATTAAGACTAATAACACAGAGCCTAGTATACATCAAGGGGAATAAAAAGAAAAATCTCACATTCAAGTGGCGGACTGGGTGCTGACCTTTGTTCCCCCTTTTTTGTGTACGACTTAACTCTGCACAAAAAGGAGCCACACGCCACACCAACATGCAGGTGAACTCCAGCCAGGGCTAGCAGAGTGTGTGCAGCACTCGCTCGGAAAATCTGATAAATCTCCATGCAGGATAATGCATTTCATTAGATTCACTGCATTAATTCTAGCAGCATTTTTAAGGTGGGGGGAGACAACAGAATTGAAAGTGACATTAGTCTCTCTCTCTCTTTCCCGCTTCCCTTTCTTCCCTCTCACCCCCCTCCCTTTCTTTTACTGTGTGGATGCGAGGTCAGTATTTTCACAGCATGTAAATGTGTATGCAAAGCTCTGTCGAAAAGCAAATTAATCTGGATTGGTCCATAGTCACAATTGCCTGCAGAATAAGACTCCAAACCCCCTCCTAGAATATTTTATTCTGTGTTTCAATATGCTCGTTTTGTTTAAATCTTCATGCAACAGCTAAGGATTTTCCCGGCCTGTTTCAAAGCTTTATATGTGTCTACATTTTGTCCTTTGGTTCATATGTAGAATCTGTTGACGAAATGTATAGATTCCTTGCTTATTTTCTAGTCTTAGCGGACAGACTTGCCAAACTTGAAATGCGTTTCTTCTCCCAGCAAATATGCTTCGTTTGTTTGTGGAGTAGATTTTAAGACGCCATAGGAAACACATTGTGTCGACATTTAGAATAGCTCTGAGTGGATTCTGTAATCCGACATGTTATTTAAATTCTTGCTACAGATAAAGAACCACCCTTTTTTTTAATAGGCAGTCTGATCAAACGAATGGATAAATTCGCAAAAATTGCAGGGCGGATGAATAATTGCCTGAGCGAAGGAAACCAATCTATTTTTGTTCAGTCCATTTGTGTTGATCACCTAAATTCAGATGAAGTGTAATAGGAATGTAATTGGATGTGTGTTTTCTATATATACCTTATGAAAATTTGCTTCTACATTTGTTAATACTATGTACAAATTACAGCTTCGGAAACCATGACTCAGGATCCCGAAAATGAATTGTGTAGGGGAAAAAATGGAAACATAGCTACGGTTAAATAAAGCCAATTTCAAACTTGTAGTTAAAATTACTAAGATAAGAGTATCAATAAATGGTTTCTCCATGTTTTAACTTATAAATATATGTTTTGATATTAACTTAGAACAATACAAAAGCAGACTTTTAGAATAGAAATCTGTTTCTATCCGATTATGCACATTTAAACAATAAGTGGCTCAGGCAAAATAAGTCATTTTAATGTCATCTGTGATAGATTTTCTTTGACAGCTACTGTAAATTACAATTACACTGCTTCTCCCTGTGTTTGAAAGTAAGCATTGCAATAAATTATCTTTTATTTCAATCCATCATGTCTGCCTTTCAGAAACGGCACACCTCAAAAGTTCAGCACTATTGTAAGAAAAATACAGTGATTTTAGCTTGAAACTAAAAATTCACCTTTCTTTAAGGAGAAAGCTCACAGTTGTGCGCTTTCAAGGATATTACTAATTGCAATTCATCATTCCTTGTCATGAAAGGGAATCCCTGAATGTGCGCATTCCCTTAACTTTGGGCTACCTCTGAAGGACAAGATCTTAAGCTTACCCAAGAGCAAGGTACAATTAACCCAGGGAGCTGATGCTCTTGGATTTAAAATATATGTTCACCTTGGTATTAACAGCTACACGTTTTC